GATGTGTGTATGGATTGGGATAACAGTTGTATGAGCCCCTAATAAAATGTTTAAAAAAAAAAAAAAGAAGAAGAATAGATAAGAAGGGAAGTGTGGTAGTTACATAATTTGGTGTCAATTTGAGACTATTAAGAGTGAAGGAGTGGAGGCTAGCCTGCCAATCAGGTCACAGCATGATGACCTCATTCTGAGATGCGACACTGGAGGCAAGAAACACTCTATGCTTCATCTTCCTGCTGACAAGACACATGGTGCTACGCCATAGTCCTGAGCTGGAGGAGCCACATGGAGACCCCTGCCAGTGCTGAGATGCTTCCACTGACACCGGATCCACAAGACTTTCTACCCACTGGCCTGTGATTGTTCCTGAATTTGACATCATTGTATGTGTTGTGTGAGTCTGTAGAAGAATTTATGGACTATTATCGGACCTATGGGCTAATATCAGACTTATGAGTTAATATAAAACTTATGGATTTGATGTGGACTTGGCTGGGATATTTTCTTAATATACATTTGCTCTTGTATATTAAGCTGTTTCTTATACATATGAGTATTTGTGAATTTGTTTCTCTAGTCAACCTGGACTAACACAGGGGAAAGGAGGAAAGAGACAGGAAGGGGTGGTGAGAGGGAGGAAGAAAAGAGTCACTCATGAAGAAAGGGAAGGCAGAAAACCATCAATGTCATAGAATGCCATCTTCTTGTCCCTTGTCTCTAAGCCACAATAGGAAATCAGCATGTGTGAGCTGCAGCAGATGAGTGTGGGCAGAGAGAGTCCTGAGAGGTGTACAAGGACTTTATTGAGGACCTCAACTCATGGAGAGAAGAACTGGAAATGGAAATGGTTTATTTTGTTTTTTTCAAATAACTTCCTCCAGGTGTGCTATGATGAACCCTCCCTCACTGTAGGTATTGAACCTCAACCTCTATAACCTCTTTCATGATATTTATGTCACTTGTTGTTAGAACAGCCACATTTCCCTTGGATACAATTCAGTCTTCGTTATTTTTTAAAAAGGAATCACGAACTCTTTCCCTCACCCACCTGAACAGCAGTCCTCATTGTTTGGAGCAGCAGTTTGGCAGGATCTGACTTTGAACCTCTCCCAGGCAGGATAACCCCTGTGGTCTCATAATTGGCTCACCAGCCTCCATTCAAACTTTGAGAACTTCATGGGTGGTTGTTGTAGGAGATAGAATCTAATTGTCCAAACCAGCTCACTTTAGAGCAGCGATTCTCAACCTGTGGGTCACGACCACTTTGGGGGTCGAACAACCCTTTCACAGGAGTCACCCGATTCATCACAGTAGAAAAATTACAGTGATGAAGTAGCAACAAAAATAATTTTATGGTTGGGGGTCACCACAACATAAGGAACTGTATTAAAGGGTCACAGCATTAGGAAGGTTGAGAACCACTGATCTAGTTCTTTAATGCTTCCTCCCTCCCACTATCATGATGCTAATTCTACCTTACAAATCGACTAGACTGTGGTCCTTATCAAAGCTGCAGTTGCTTCCACACAGCTGCTGTAGT